GGCTTGCATTGTATGTAACCAAGTTCTGCCCATGATGAGATTATAAGGCGAAGGAAGCTTGAGAACCAAAAATTCTACATCTACTAATCTGGTGTTGACCCATACTGGTAGTGTGATTTTGCCCAAAGGATACTCCGAGTTAGCATTGAAGCCGAATAATGGGTAATCAGCCGAAGATAGGTCCGAGTCAATGAAGCCAAGTTTGACGAAAGTTTTGTAATACATTATTGCTGAAGTGCTGCCATGGTCAATGAGAACACGCTTAATGGTGAATCTGTTTACGCGTAGCTCGATGACGAGGGGATCGGTGTAGGGGTGAGTTACTCTAATTAAGTCACTATCATCGAAACTAATCCTTTCAGTGTCATGGGGCCTTTTCGCTGGCGTCATTGGGCTATGGGGGCTAGACTGCAACTGAATTGTATGCACCTTGAATGACGTTGGGAAGCTGTATATCATATGAATTACACCAAAAGGAGGTGACTCCGGCCGTAGAGCTACTGTATTTGTTGAATTGTTCTTTCTGACGTGCTGCGCAAGACGACCGTCTTGCACTAATTCTTCCAGCTGATCCTTTAATGCATAACAACTATCAGTGTCGTGACTGTGGTCTTTATGATACTCACACCGTTTATCCCGTCTTATCGCATCAGGAGGTCCTGTCATCTTGGGCGGCCACTTGAAGAACGGAAGGTATTGAACTTTTGACAGAATTTTACTAATCGGCTCTGTTAGCTCCGTGTATTTCTTGCCTAAGCGCCTTGTGCGCATGCTATCCACTTGATACTGTTCATTAGCTCGATGTGAACATTGATCATTTGATCGGCGCGAGTCACGCCATTTGTCTCGTTTAGCTTGATTCCGCAGCTTGAGGATTCTTGATAGCACGACGCTAATCGGCTGAACAATTCCCAACGTGGCCGTCTCAACGGTTCTACGTCCGGCTTTGACCCGCAGGGCATCGTCTTCCACTTTGCAGTATTCTTTGACCTTCTTCAGTAACGCCCAGACGGTTTTAGGGGGCCGTCTGGTTAATGAACTGCAGAGGGAACTATTAGGATGCAATCCCATCTTAAAGGTGGTGATGGCTATAGAGTCATTGCAAGCATCATCTACCAGATTAAAGCACTCCCAATAGCGGGCCGAATATTCACGAAAAGTTTCTTACGGTTTAATTTGCATGGCCCAGAGAGAATCGGCTTGCTTCGGCTCCACTTCATTAGTGATGAATCTCGCCTTGAATGACTTTTGGAGTTGGTGGAAGCTCTTAATCGCTGCTGGCTCCAGTTTATAGTACCACTTCACGGCCAGTGGTCCTAGATTGCTTAGAAATATTCGACACATGAGGGCTTCGTCGTCAGCATGGGACGTCATCGCTTGTTTATAGTGACGAATGTAATCAGTGGGGTCCGATTTTCCATTGTAGAGGGTGAACGACGATGCCTTGAACTTTTTGGGTAGCACAACCTTTGCAATTCATCGCACGATAGGGTCATGTTTATTTTCCTTATCCGAATCATCGCTTCTCCCTCGTTTATGCCGTACATATGGACTTCCTTCAAATGAGCTGGATACATCAACGCGTCCTTTCTTTCTAGGCTCCAAGGATGATGAGCCAGAATCACTGTGATTATTGCGTTTCCGGAGTCGACGTTGTCGACCATCCTTCTTCCCCAAAGATCGACCCCGGTCTTGGCATGCGGCCTACTGAGATTTTGCCATCTCCAAAGCCAAATCCTGGCGTAGGTGCTCGTTCTCAACCATCATGTTCTCCAGTCGCTACTCATTTTGCTTTGCTTGATCTATAATCGTCTGCATTGTCTCATATACTGAAGTTGAGGATGTGGTCTGAGCTACTGAGTCGAAATTTAAGGCCCATCGAGCGATGATGTTCTCCGGTCCAAGCATGTCTCTTGGCGTAGTTTCGTCAGCGACTATCAAAGGATCTTCTGTTACGCCTGCCATGGATATACTTGAGTATTCCCATAGACGGCGCTAGTTGTGGAAAAGTGGTTTGGAAATACTTTTGGATCCTGCAGGACGTTCCTGATCCTTTGATTGCCACTTAAAAAAGGGATTAGCACTCCGGTCGGGGGTACCGGAATTAGCACTCTGGCGGACAAGTTAGTATATGTCTCTCGTTTGCTTGTATCTTAAGTTTCTTGGTTCTGTTCTCACCTCCTTCTCTTTGGTTGATGTTCTTCTATTTATATTCGCTCCTGGGCCCTAGGGTCGGGCCACTCTTAATCCATCGCATGATTGCTCATTCGGCCCTTCTGTCGCATACCAATTCCCACTCGGCTTTTTGTTCAACTGGTTCTATGGCCGATTTATCTATTCGGCTTCGGGATCGTCTAGGACGGAGCCGAATAGAATATATATATACATATCCTGATTTTCTTCAGATATTTGGCTTTCCTGCATGTACCGATATTCGGCTCCCACATTAGGTGTATCTAAAAATTAAAAAAATTGCTTAGAGTACTAAAAAAAATTCAGTGAAAATAAAAAAATGCAAAAAACAAAAATTTTCAATTTTCTGAAAAGTGAATCCTGAAAATCCAAACAAAAAATGCTTATGTTTTGAATGTGATATTTTGTCTTATTGGCTAAATTAACTTATTTTATTTTTTTTTTGTACTTATTTAGTCATTTTAGACCTTCCCAAACAAGGACAGAGTAATACTATAAATTCAAACTTAACTACTTAAAAATTATTTAAAATTATCATTTTATAATTTAGATTTATTCTATATATGAATCTCACACTATATAAATTCAATTTCAATTATATATTATCATTCAAGATAAATAAGAGTGAGTTTATATAATTACTCAATTTAATTATATATGAATTGCGTATGCCTACCACTCTTCTTTACTTAGGCCTTATTTGGGAACAGATTTTTTTAGTAATTTTTTGAATTTTTAATTAAAATATGATATAAAAAAAAACTAGTATATTTGAGATTACTTTTTAATTTTTTATAAAAAAATATGTAAAAAGTAAAAAGAAAAAAAATTTAATTTTTTAATATAAATTGTTGATTTTTTTATTTTTTAATGACTTTTTTAATGTTTAAACTAAAAATGATATTACCAAATAAGATCTAAAATGGGATGGGACTTGGTCTCAAACTCAAACATTGACGTAACCAACCCGTTGGGCTGGGTTGCGGATTTTGAGCCGAATTGAGTCCGACCCGGTTTGAATAACAATGACAATAGCGTCAACCCACCGGACCCCGTAATTCTTGCCCGCGCGTTGGGGGGGAGAGAGAAAGAGGGAGAGACAGAGAGTAGGTGTGTTCTATCTCTAACCTCTTCTCGTCCTTCTTGCTTCTCAGCCATGGAAGCTTATTGAAGCAGAAACGCACAAAGCAAAATTGAATCCCTCGACATGCTTATCCCTCATCGCTATCCTCTCCACAAGCTCTTCACTTCCAACATTTTCATGGCTTCCAAACCTTTCCTCAAGTTCTCACCTTTCACTGTACTCCCCACAACCCCTTCTTCCCAAACCCACCTCTTCCACACCAAAAGATTCTGCTTGATCCATAATCGTCTACATTGTCTCATGCATTGAAGTTGAGGGTGTGGTCTGAGCTACTGAGTCGAAATTTAAGGCCCATCGAGCGGTGATGTTCTCCGGTCCAAGCATGTCTTTTGGCGTAGTTTCGTCAGCGACTATCAAAGGATCTTCTGTTACGCCCGCCATGGATGTACTTGAGTATTCCCATAGACAGCGCTAGTTGTGGAGAAGTGGTTTGGAAATACTTTTGGATCCTGCAGGACGTTCCTGATTCTTTGATTGCCACTTAAAAAATGGATTAACACTCCGGTCGGGGGTACCAGAATTAGCACTCTGACGAACAAGTTAGTATATGTCTCTCGTTTGCTTGTATCTTAAGTTTCTTAGTTCTGTTCTCACCTCCTTCTCTTTGGTTGATGTTCTTCTATTTATATTCGCTCCTAAGCCCTAGGGTCGGGCCACTCTTAATCCATCGCATGATTGCTTATTCGGCCCTTCTGTCGCATACCAATTCCCACTCGGCTTTTTGTTCAACTGGTTCTATGGCCGATTTATCTATTCGGCTTCGGGATCGTCCAAGACGGAGCCGAATAGAATATATATATATATATATATATCCTGATTTTCTTCAGATATTTGGCTTTCCTGCATGTATCGATATTCGGCTTCCACATTAGGTGTATCTAAAAATTAAAAAAATTGCTTAGAGTACTAAAAAAATTCAGTGAAAATAAAAAAAATACAAAAAACAAAAATTTTCAATTTTCTGAAAAGTGAATCCTGAAAATCCAAACCAAAAATGCTTATGTTTTGAATGTGATATTTTGTCTTATTGGCTAAATTAACTTATTTTATTTTTTTTGTACTTATTTAGTCATTTTAGACCTTCCCAAACAAGGACAGAGTAATACTATAAATTCAAACTTAACTACTTAAAAATTATTTAAAATTATCATTTTATAATTTAGATTTATTCTATATATGAATCTCACACTATATAAATTCAATTTCAATTATATATTATCATTCAAGATAAATAAGAGTGAGTTTATATAATTACTCAATTTAATTATATATGAATTGCGTATGCCTACCACTCTTCTTTACTTAGGCCTTATTTGGGAACAGATTTTTTTAGTAATTTTTTGACTTTTTAACTAAAATATGATATAAAAAAAGTTAGTATATTTGAGATTACTTTTTGATTTTTTACAAAAAAAATATACAAAAAGTAAAAAGAAAAAAAAAATTTTAATTTTTTTATATAAATTGTTGACTTTTTTATTTTTTAATAACTTTTTTAATGTTTAAACTAAAAATGATATTACCAAATAAGATCTAAAATGGGATGGGACTTGGTCTCAAACTCAAACATAGACGTAACCAACCCGTTGGGCTGGGTTGCGGATTTTGAGCCGAATTGAGTCCGACCCGGTTTGAATAACAATGACAATAGCGTCAACCCACCGGACCCCGTAATTCTTGCCCGCGCGTTGGGGGGGAGAGAGAAAGAGGGAGAGACAGAGAGTAGGTGTGTTCTATCTCTAACCTCTTCTCGTCCTTCTTGCTTCTCAGCCATGGAAGCTTATTGAAGCAGAAACGCACAAAGCAAAATTGAATCCCTCGACATGCTTATCCCTCATCGCTATCCTCTCCACAAGCTCTTCACTTCCAACATTTTCATGGCTTCCAAACCTTTCCTCAAGTTCTCACCTTTCACTGTACTCCCCACAACCCCTTCTTCCCAAACCCACCTCTTCCACACCAAAAGATTCATCTTCTCTACTTTTCCTTCTAAATCCATATCAAAGATTCACCCTTTCTCTCTTAAAAATAATGGGTTTTCCTCTGTTTCTGATGCCAATATCCACACACCAGGTTTTTCCCCTTTAAACCCACATGTACTTATGCATACATATATGTGTTTCTTTGTGTTTTTATGTATATATTTTTGTTTGAAGGGTTATTGAGAGTACAGTGTTTTGAATTGCTTTAGTTTCTCAACTTTATGGGGTGACCCTAGAAGAGAATGGTATTGACTTGGCTGAAATGAAGGTTTTGAGGAGGAAAATGGAGGAGCTTGGGATTGATAGCAATCTCTGTAAACCAGGGCAGTACAACCACTTAATTTGCCCAATGGTATGCTTTGTTTGTTCCAAAATTTGTTCCTGGAAGCTATATTGTGTTTGTTTTATCTGAAACCTATGTAATATGTGCTGCTACACTTGCGTGGTTGTTTTTGTTTGATTGTTCGAATGTACAATCTTGTTGTGTTAGGAATTATTTAAGAAGTATTTAACCAATTATTTAAAAGTACATTAACATGGTGTGTTATAAATTTGTTTATTAAAACTGAAGAGAAGTGGATTGGATCATTCTTTTTTCTTCCAGTATAAATGTTTACTTATGTTTTGCTTTTCTTTTTACTGTAGTGCAAAGGTGGGGATTCAGGGGAGAAGAGCTTATCCCTTTTCATCACCGCAAATGGGTAAATTGTGCATATTTCTTTTTTTACTTCTTTCTGTTTTCTTGCCTGATAGTTTGCTTGCTGTATCTGTCATGGGAATTTTATTGTGTTAGGAATTCAGCTTTGTGGACCTGTTTTCGAGCAAAATGTGGCTGGAGAGGCAATACAGGGGTACCGAAGTTTTTTATATATGGTTTTGATTTTATGTAATTAGTCAATCAAGCATTTGTTCTGATTTCAGAGTCCTTTCCAATTGTACCCATTTTGTTGCAGGCCTATGTAAATGGCAATTCAACGTCCGGAAGGATTGCTCATATCCCAAAAGTTAAGCAAACTAGAGAAATCACCGAGAAAAGTTTGGATTTGGAGCCACCTTGTAGTGAGGTAATACATTTTCAGCTTTGATCTACTTTTTTGCTTATTTGATTAAATCTGATGTTTGTTTAGGTGGCAGTGGTTAGACATACATAAGTGAAGCTATATGAATGTATAGAGGCAATATTTGTTGATGAACACCTGTATAGGTGTATTTAAGTCTATACAAGTGTATTTATGGGTGTATTCTAAAATCTGTACTTACATAGGTTCATAGGTATGACTTAAAAGTATGATTTTTAGTAGCATGTACAACTTAAAACCATGTGTATCACTTTCTAGTTTACTAATTAAATTAGTAGCATGTACAAATTATTGTCATGAGTTTTAGCAGAACCAACAGGCTAGTATAAAGTTGGCCAAGGGCAAAGTGGCTCAACACTACGAACTCTCTCTGGTGGCACTCTTTTGTTGTGTGGTGCAATAAGTGGAGGCATCCCAGTAGCCTAAAAAAACCAAACAAGCGTCCATGTGCATCGCTTAGCATTCAAAAGTTTTATACGCACCACGCCATGCCAATGCCATAAGGGGATGCGAGGATGCTGAATTGTTGATAAGTGGAGTGGTGTTGGCAATCAGGTACCATATATGCCAATGCCATATGTGGATGTGATGATGCTGAATTGCTGATAAGTGGATTGGCATAGGCAATTAGAATACACATGGTTCCTAGGAAGCACATACACTTCTAAGATGGTGTTGTGTCCGTTTTGGACATATCTTGACACGTGTTGGACACGTCCATATACAACATTAATTTTTTTTATACCCAAAAACGCTTGGGAGATACATGTGGGACTTAGACACATGACTTGGGATCCAATTATAAAAGAAAAACAATGTAGATTATACATATTAATCTCTCCTCTTTTATATTTCTAGAATAATGTTTGTTTGCATTTAAAAAAAAATTATATTTGAATGAAATATTCGTATATATGACTAAATATATAAGTCATAAATTTTTATATTTTGTGTGGGTCCCCCATGTATCGTGTCTTACATTTTTTGAAAATTGTTATGTTAGTGTGTTCATGTTATGTCATGTGTCTGCACTTCTTAGCATGGTTTCATTAGTCTCAATGACTAAATTAACTAAATTTACAGAATGTCCTAGGACCTGTAACATGGACTTGGATACGACTATTGGGTGTGGGTGTGTATCCAAGTGTCAAACCTTCATAAATTTAAATCTTACGATCTTGAGATACGTATCCAAAATTGGATATGGGCAGTGTTATTAAAGGTGATAGGCGCACTGAGGCACAAGGCGAGGCGCGGCACGGGCTTTATCGAAGTGAGGCGCACATTGTGCGTAAAAATATATACAATTTAATATAAGAAAATAATTTAGGATCCAGCATAAGCAAAATGAAATATTAAACATTTAAAAATGTAAATACTAACAAACACAACAATTTTAATATAGACAAATGAACATTATTTCAAAGTTTAACGTAAAACATGAATAAGAAGAGGATGGAAGAAGACCAGAGAATAAGCATAAGAAGATGGAATAAGAAGAAGAAGAAGAAGAAGAAAGCAACATTACAGCCATGTGAAGAAGAAGATGCAACGTAGAGAAGAGAAGTGGAGAAGACAACAATGTAGAGAAGAAGAGAAGAGAAAAGAATGAGAGAGAAATGTAAGAAGAGAGGAATAAGAAGAAGAAGAAGAAGGTAGCAACGTGAAGAAGAATTTTTGGAGCTGTTGGACTGGATAACGAAGGTAGGCAACATCAAAGTGTTCTTTGGATATTGGGAATTTGGACTAAATTTTCTTCTATCGTTGATTTGGGGCTGAATGGCCGAGTATTGGCATGTGTAATTACGAGTAGGGATCTTTTATAGTTGCACCATATTAAATCAATGTTTAGATTTTAAACAAAACCAATCAAAACAACAATAAAAAAATAAATAAATAAAAATAAAAAAGCCCTCAAGGCGGAGGCCTTGGGCTTTTCTGTGCCTTGGCCCAGTCTCACGCCTTAAGTGCAACTTATTGAAGTCGCTTGGCCTAGAACACTGGCGCAAACCTTGGGCTTTGATGGGACTTGGTTCTAGGCGCATACCTAGGCATGCCTTCAATAACACTAGATATGGGTACAGAGACACGTCATATGCACATATATATTGCATATTGTAGAAATTTAATGTATAAAGAGAAATAGAGAATTATATTATTGATTGATATCTGTTTGTATACAATGACTCTCCTATATATAGAAGAGAAAAACATATTTACCAACCACACTCAACTGGCTAAAAATATTGCTTTACTAACAAATGTAAATTTCTTTTTCTTATTCATATATTGTCAATTTGTCACAAATTAAAGGATTTGAGTGTTCAAATTGGGCACGAGTGTCGGACACGTATGCTATACCCTTACCCATGTCATATCCGGTGGACAGAGGTACTGTGGGGGAAATAAAAGAGTCCATGTAACACAGGCACTTTGATGGTTTAAAGATATGGGTTATTTTTTAGCTTCATTCCCACTGCATCTTGATAATATTTACTTTTTGAATTATAGTGATGAAATAGAGTTGATTTTTTGTTTCCTTTTTTCGGTGTTGCTTCAGCTATGTGCATACTTTGCTGAGCGAATGATATCAGGGGAAACATTGCGGAGAAATGCTGTTATGCAAAGAAGATATGGTGATCAGGTGCACAAGATACTGAATTGAGAAAATAGTGCCTTTATTTATTTTAGTTTTTAATCACAGGGTTCTTTTTAATTGTGCATATTTAAGAATAAGAATTTTAGTAATTTAAAGTTTCCTGTGTTTACCCTTGCTACAAAAGTTCTTCAGTTGGTGAAATCTGCCATTTGAAATATCCGTTCATATTGTTTTACATGCAAATAGTTGATCAAATTGGAGATACCTAAATACTGCTAGGCTCTATTCTTTTATTTTATTTTATTGTAAGGGGTGGAATCTAACTCTCAGACTAGAAGATTACCTTACATATCCTTAGGCAACTTGGTTTCAGTCAGGAGCAGCACAAGGGTTTTTTCTTTTGGGGGGAAGGGGAAGGGGTGCTAAACAAAATTGTTAAAATCATTTTTCCTATCAAAGCTTCCCAAAAAATATAAATCACAAATAATATCGAAAATTGAAGTAACTGCGCATGATATGTGAACTAATAACTATTATTAATGTCAACTTTAACATTGATTGCTACCAAAAAAAAGGAGAAAATATTTTTGATTAAATTGTAGTATCTGTTCCTTTATAGGATTGTTGTGTTATATTGATATTAAGGTTAATATATCCATTGGTCCTGTTATAATATTTTTATTAATAAGGTATGAACTTTGAAGTCAACGAAACAATTAAATATGAGTTTATATACATGCATGTAATCAAGGCTGTAGTCTTCCGGAAAGCAAATTTTTGCATTTGCACCCAAAGTTCTATTCTCACACCAACAAAAAGTACTGACTGTATTTTATTTTTTCTTTGGGGTGGTTCCACCTCCGCGTGCAAGACATCTCAGATGATTTGTTCTGACATCTGAGTGTTGATCTAATGAAAATTAGACTAGTAAACATGTGGTGGAGTTGGACATTAGCTGAAGGAAAGTCCGGATGAGTAGATGTGTTATGACTTTTATTTTAGCAAAACAAAATCCATCACTGGTTGTTGTAGATTGTTTAAGTTCTAGAATGCTTGAAACCAAAATACATAAATTTATGAATAAATAGATAATGAAATATAAGATAAAATAAGCAAATGCTAAGTTTAAACTCTTCTCAATCATCCAAAGTAGGAAGAAGCTTCGGTTCTGTATGGCGACTGCAGGTAGTAATTCTTCTTATCTGGGAAATATTCCATTCCTGTTAAGTATGCTAATTAATTTCATTTCAACTAACTTCTGGAAAGTTTAATGACAGATTGTTATTGCATTTCCATATCGAAGGAATGGTGAGCTTGTGAGCTGCAAGTACCGGGACATCAACAAAAAGTTTTGGCAGGTTCTTAGTGACAATTGTTGATGTAGATACAAAGTTACAAACATTGATTTATTAAATAGCTTTATTACGGCGCATTGATATCCGATTTGACTATTGTAGATACAAAATTACTATTCGTTCTCTAAGTGTTTCAAGGAGAGATATATTTCAACACTTGAATCTTGTTGCTTTGCTGGTCTTCATCTACAGGAAAAAGATACTGAAAAGATATTCTATGGACTGGATGATATAAAGGATTCCAATGATATAATCATTGTAATATTTCACGATGGCTCTCTATCAGTTGAAATTGTCTTTGCTATTCTGTGGTCAATGGGTTATTTATTTGCTTCCAACTCATTCACTATTGATGTTTATTATTTATACGTAATCGTAGGTTGAGGGTGAGATGGACAAGCTTGCAATGGAAGAAGCTGGCTTCCGAAACTGTGTGAGTGTCCCTGATGGTGCTCCCGCATCAGTTTCCAAAAAAGAGTTGCCATCTGAAGAGCAGGTCTGTATCAACCTTAAAATTTCCAAATTTGTTGCTGTCACTAAATTTTTTTCATGTCCATATGATAATCTCTTTATGCCTTTTTTAGGTTTATTATCCAAGAAGTGTAAGACTTCCTGGTGATCCAAATTAACTCCAATTCCGACTTGTTACTACACTTTCAACTGTACAATAGGGATGAATTTCATACACGGGGGGATTATCTTCTCCGTGCTATTATGATAAAACATGGCTTTATAGGTGAACATGTATTTAATTGCATATGATGCTTAAAAAACTGTTTGGATGCATAAATTAAGGGCGGGTCCTTGAAAACTTCCCTTAGCTTGGAAGAACTAATTTTCAATGAGTTAAAGATAACAAATTAATAAAGTTTCACTTTTGGTTGTTTCTTCTCTTTTTCTATTGATATGGCTGTCAATTCCTTGATGCTTTTCCACACCTTTTTTTAAGTATGCCCAAGAAACTTGTCATTAACCAGCACAGTTAATCACTGTGGTCAAAATAAGTATGCAAATTTATTTTCTGTCAATAAAATAAGTACTTATTGACATGCCTACACTACAATCCAAGCAAAATGTTGAGGTCTGTGTTGTAGGTAAAAGGGTATTGTGCAGTCTGAAAGACCTTGAAGGATAATTGTACTTCTGCCAGCTGTTCTTCTGTTTTATATCTTTAGTTCAATTATCTCCCATGTCAGATTTCTTATTTATTTATTTATTTATTTTGCGTGCACTTTGTTTCTTGGTAGCTCAACATTTTAAACAATAGAGCACAATTGGATAGAGTGGCATCTCATAAAATGAACGAGTGGAGATGCTTAATCATAAAGTTAGGAGCAAATATAACTGGATTACATGGAAAGTCTTTCCTTTCATTGGGACTATTTTGAATTTTGTAGAGAATTTAAATTTTATTTCTGTATGGGAGTTTTTTGGTTTTGTATGCACTGTTTATGCTTCAGTCATGTCATGTCCCCTTTGGCATGTTTTTACTGAAATACTTTTTACTTATCCAAAAAGAGAAAAAATAGAAAGAGAAAAAAAAAAAAAAAAAAAAAAAAAAAGAAAGTGTAAAAACTATTTTTTCACTTCGTACTCCTTAGTAAGTAGAACCTTCAGTAGCACACCGACTGTATCTTTTTTAATTGTCTTATTATTAGTTTGATTCTTTGCATACTCTATCTTGTTTTATTATGTTGGTGGAAATATTCATTGGTAGAGTCTCTTCACTGCTTTTATAAATCAGGTGAAATTGTTTTATATTACCAGTTAAGTTATCTCTTAGGTCTTACTATTCCATGATATCATTTCCTAAAGTTTGAAACTAATGCTCTTGTGTTTTTTGTAAAGCTAGGACACAAAGTATCAGTATTTGTGGAACTGCAAAGAGTACCTAGAGAAGGTTGGTCGTAAATGGTTAAATAATTGCGAAAATCGAAGCCCGCCTCATTTCTTACTAAGGAGTACCTATTTTTCTTCTTCTGGCCAAGGAATTAAAGTCGTTCGTTTTTTGATATATTTATAGGCATCTCGCATCATACTTGCAACTGATGGGGATCTGCCTGGTCAAGCCTTGGCTGAAGAACTTGCACGCCGCCTTGGAAGAGAAAGGTTCGCATTATTCTATCTTGATGTCATTTTTTACCAACATTCTCTTTGAAAGCAATCTTCATGCCAGTTTTGTATCACTGGTTACTTCTTGTTCTGTGGGTTTTACAGATGCTGGCGAGTCAAATGGCCAAAGAAGAATGATGTGGATCATTTCAAAGACGCAAATGAGGTTTGATGTCAATTCTTCCCATTTTCTTTTCCCCGTTTTATTTTAATGACAAGAGCTTCGTAAATTATTTTCTTTCCTAGAAAAAGGTACAAAGTGTTGCTTAACGGTATTCTTAAATGTCTAAAAGGGTACAAAGTGTTGCTTAATGGTATGGTAATCTTAAATGTCTAAACCATAATAATTCTTTGTCAATAATATGAGGTGTAGGGTCTATTTTTTGGACTCTTTCTTTTTCTTTTATTTCTTCTCTTTTTATGAGGTGTTGTGCCCCCTTGGTACGGTCTCATAGAAATTTTATCTATTGTTGATCACCTTATATCACCTGCTCTAAGTGGTTGCTCCCTATCCAGCTTGACCTGGCATACATGAGCTTGATGGTCCTTTCTTTCAGTTCTTCCCATAAAGTTGTGATGAAGACCATTCTGGTTATTGAACTTTATAAATTTTTGGGGAGAAGACTATCGACATTGTGACTGATGTGTACATTGGTAGGTGCTCATGTATATGGGACCCACAATACTGAAGGAAGTCATTGAAAGTGCTGAATTATATCCTATAAAAGGATTGTTCAACTTCAGAGATTACTTTGATGAGATTGATGCATACTATTATCGAACTCTTGGTTATGAGCTTGGTGTCTCAACTGGATGGAGGGGTCTGAATGAAATATACAATGTAAGTATATTTTTCTGTAGAACTATTAATTACATTGAAGTATCTGAGCACTTGAGTGGTGTGAAAAACATAAGAAATATAGGTCACACGTTCTATAATGCAAATCAAATTTCTGCTGAATGTCAATTTCCCTTGCCCAACAGTTTAAATTCCATGTTTTTCTGCCCTTCTTTTTCCTCTTCTAATAAGAGTGTTTTCTTCCAAATTTGAAGATTTCTGTGAGATTTGATATACATTGTTGGTTTGATTTCCTTACATTTTAGGTAGCATTTAGTTTTACGTTATAGAAAACAGGAAATTTTACCAAATGTCATCTTATGTTCAATTTTCCCTTTTTGCTTCATAGTTTAATACCATCTTGTCATCAAGGAGTTAAACAGTTGGATGCTTTATTGGCTGTGTTGCTTCTTTAATTCCGAACATGAGAAACGTCAGTAGGTAACTTTGTTGAGGAGATATAAGCAATTCTAATTGTTGAACTTCTCATTTGATCAGGTTGTGCCTGGAGAGTTGACTATAGTAACTGGAGTTCCAAATTCTGGTAAGAGCGAATGGATTGATGCTCTTTTAAGCAATCTTAATGCTAGTGTTGGCTGGAAATTTGCACTTTGCTCTATGGAAAATAAGGCAAGTTCATTATGCTATACAAGCGTGTACTTATCTTTCAGTTTGGAGCATTTTCATCTCTGCTTTTTAGCTATATCTATGTTTGGGAACCGGTAATAGTTCTCAGTGAGGGTTGATTCTCTTTCCTTTATGAGGATCTTATTACAAAGCAATTTTGTTTAGCTTCAAAAGTTGATGTGCAGCAATTGTTTACATTTTCTTCTAGCTTTCTACTCTCCATTTGATGAAAGCATGGAATTTATGGATACATGGCTTGAAATCTTACATGAATGTATAGGGATACCTTATTTAATATTGAATATATTTGTTGGATTTGGATGTAAACCTTTCCCAAGCATGATCTATGAGTTCACAACTCCACTTGTAAAGTTGAATTTCTTCACTCCGCTGTTGTTGTATGAGCAGTATTTGGTAATATGTGATGGTTATCAGAAAGATGGATTGTTAACTTTATTAGCCAAAAGGTCCAAAACAAATTCTAAGAAACTAAATAGTTATGTGTTATACTAATTACATAATAACTCCTTGAATTTTATAATGCCTAAAGATGTGATTTACCAAAGGTACCAAATGCTGTTTTGGATTTTAACGATCATTGAAAAATATGAGTTGTGGTAATAAAATAGTTAATACTGTGATTTCTTATACATGAAATTGATAAGTTTCCTTTGGTCTGTTTTACTCTATGCCAAGTTTTCACACGTCTTTCTATTGGCATTCATCTTAATCCATGTTCTGTTCAATTGATCTTTAGGTTCGGGAACATGCAAGGAAGCTTTTGGAGAAACACATTAAAAAGCCCTTCTTTGATGCAAGGTAAATTTATGGCATGGCTCACTAGTTAGTCTACCACGTTGTAGTTGGTCATTATATATATATATATATAATTTTTGTGAGAGATATAAAAGCAGTTCACTGTCATGGAGTTGAATGATCCTAACTACATTTAGAACGTATGATGGTATTGCTTCTCTGCTTAATTTTGAACCATGATGTAATTGGGCTGGTTGATGCGCTTGGTGACATACTCAGTTTCATTTTCTACCTCTAGTAAAAGGAGAGTCTATAAGGGTTAAATTGCTACTACAAAGCATGGACATGGATTTGGGATATGCATATGACACAATACAAACATGCCAATATAATTTATGGTTTACATTAAATCAAACAGGCCCTAAATGTAATTCAAACATCCTCCAACCCCATTTAATCCCCCTCTAATCCAGTAAATCAAACAGGTCTGAAATCTCATGTATAGAACTTATGGATTACATTAAGATACCTTATCACTTGTGAAGAACATTATCACTTTTTCATGAAGATCAAATTATTTATAGCTCTGAAAAGAAAGGGAACAAAAGAAAATTAGATGAACTGAGTTTGAATTTTTGCTGTGACATTCTCAACTGTTTGCTGTAAATTTATTACTTTCTCTCTTCCTGGCTTAATCATAGGTATGGTGAATCTGTTGAACGGATGAGTGTTGATGAGTTAGAGCAAGGAAAGAAATGGTTGAGTGATACATTTTATCTCATAAGGTGAGTAAGAATCTTTAGTTTTCATTGGCGTCATTTACTTATTTTTTTGCTGTAGGATTGCTAACCCTTTTTTGTTCCCATTCACTTCATTGTCATTTTCATAGATGATGCTGTGAGCTGTTGAACATATAAGTATTTCAACTCTGTTGGTCATATCCTTGTTTGTACTGTTTGCTGAGCTTTTCTAAGGTTTAACGTGTTCAGCTTATCAGGTTAACTGGCATAAGTTGTGCCCCATCCTCAATAGAAAAGTAGAATTTAATGCAAGAACAAAGATGTAGGGCAATCAGTTTGGTTTAAAGCTTGTTTTGCATGGACCATGGATCAATATAAATAAGTGTTTTGGTCCCTATGTGGTTTGGTCGACCAAGTGACCAGACAGCAGTCTTGGTTGGCCATCTCCAAATTTTGTACCTCACTTGGGCTGTTAAACCATCGTCCTTGTCATCCTATTTTTGTTGAAAGCCAACTTCACGTTGGTGAAGCTTCTCCTTGCACTTTTCCCATTAATCTTCCAGCATAGATAGATATTCATACTTAAGCATAGATTTTAATTATTATGAAACAGAGCTTGTTTCTAAATAATTTGTGCTTTTGAGTTCCTTGTTTTGATCACATTGTTACACTATCGACTAAGCTTACTCTGCTAGTTGTGATATTATTAGCATTTTCTTCATTATTCTCATAGTTGTTTACCTTATGGTTTGTGGATTAGGTGTGAGAATGACTGCCTTCCAAGTATCAATTGGGTCCTTGGGCTTGCAAAAGCAGCAGTTCTAAGACATGGGGTGAACGGACTTGTGATTGATCCATACAATGAGCTTGATCATCAGCGTCCTCCAAGCCAGTGAGTCATTCATCTTTTGTGCATATTGAAGATGCTTAATAAATAATTTTAAAAAAAAAAAAAAAATCACGAAAATAACAAAAATCCTTTTGAAGGATTGTTAGAGATTAGAAAACTAAGTCAATCCCATTTTGGATTCTTAGGTCTTGTTGGGTGTAGCTTTTATTAATTGAAAGTTGATAATCAGAAAGTAGAAGATAAAAGCACTCCTTCCCTAGCTTGAAGATAATCAGTTTTCTTTTGCTTATTTAAACTATTCTGCTTTATAAGCTATAAGCAGAAGGTGCACTAGTCTCCCAAAATAAATAAATAAAAGCTATAAGCAGACTCTATAAGCTGCACCAAACAACGCTTTCTCATACTCGGCTTCTACTTTTGGGCATTCCTTTTATACTGCGTTCTCCAAGCATTTACTTAATCTGTGACAGGACTGAAACAGAGTATGTGAGTCAGATGCTAACTAAGGTCAAACGATTTGCCCAACATCACTCTTGTCATGTTTGGTTTGTAGCACATCCAAGACAGGTAACCAACCATAGGCTTTGATTTCCCGCCTAGTATTCTTATTTGTCTAATCCTCATTTACGTCATAACAGTTGCATCATTGGGTTGGGAGTCCTCCTAATTTGTACGACATCAGTGGAAGTGCACACTTCATAAACAAATGTGACAATGGGATTGTTATTCATCGGAATAGGGATCCAGATGCTGGCCCCATGGATCAAGTGCAAGTGAGTTTGTCTCTTACTGTCTGCTAACTTTAGTATTTTTTGGTAGCATGGTATAATAATTGTACATTTTATAATTATCTGCAACCAGGTTTGTGTGCGAAAGGTACGAAATAAGGTTGCCGGTACCATAGGTGACGCGTTCTTGTCATATAATAGGTATGGAGCTTCTTGTTCTTGTGATGTGTGTGACTTACTTTGTGGAATTTTAATTACCATAGTCAAGTTTTGGATGATTTGTGGCGATATCTTATTATGGATCTACATTTTTGTGTTTGGCTGCTGTGGCATGCTTGTTAGGTTGGGATTCCTTCATGGATCCAAAGAGTTGTTTAAATTGTTATGTTCTGATAATAAAAACATGAAAACCCTAAAGACTCCCAAGGAGGTGAATTTTTTTGGCTTTTAACTTTTTTCTTAATTTGCTCAAGAAATTCTTTTAGGGAATGGTACTCTTTTGCAGGTCACGGTTAGCATATTTAACCCTTTTGATCCTCTGATGCCATTTGTTTTTTTAGCGCACTTTCAATTTTGCGTTGGTTTTTTAGTCTTCTCTTCTTCTGCTACTACATTGTGTTGCATACATAACATGTGCACGCATTCAAGTAAATTTCTCTTTATATTTGCTTATCTCCTCATAAATAATTTGTTAGAATTTACCATCACCTACCACCACTACCACCTCACCTACTCCACTAAACCTAACCCACTCTACCACTACCACCTACCACACTTCTCCTACTCTCCACCTACTCCCAAACACACTCCTATATAATAGGAATCTTTGTAATTGTAATACATGTGCACGCATTCAAGTAAATTTCTCGTTATATTTGCTTATCTCCTCATAAATAATTCTTTAGATAGATTTTACAATTAGATATTTAAAATAACTCCTCTCTCTCTCTCTCTCTCTCTGTGCGCTTGTTTTTTTGGTTTGTCATCAGAATGTGGCTAAACATTATTTCATTTATATGCACGGTGAGCAGGGTAACGGGTGAATTCATGGACTTGAGTGAGACCTTGAGGAGACGGACATAGGCAGGCAGTTCTCAAGGAAGACCGTTCTTCTAACTAAGCAGGCGGATTGAGCATTCTCGGTGCAATTAACATGAAGGATTGGTTGTTTTCTATGCCCTCCGACTGAAACATTCACATTCAAAATCGTGTAATGGTGGCAAAAATGATGGCAACAATGATAGAGTGGTTGCATAGCTACTTCTTTTGATTAGACACTTTCTTATAGCCAAATGAGATTAAATTCTCAACTTTTGTATATCATTATTTTGTTTTTTTTTATTTTATTTTATTTTATTTTTGTTGTAAATTGATTTTATTAGGCTTTGTATAACTCGTAAAAAAATTATTGGGTTAATCTTCAATTGGTTTTCTACCCTCCTTGAGTTTGCGGGGGGCTATTAGAATTTACCATCACCTACCACCACTACCACCTCACCTACTCCACTAAACCTAACCCACTCTACCACTACCACCTACCACACTTCTCCTACTCTCCACCTACTCCCAAACACACTCCTATATAATAGGAATCTTTGTAATTGTAATAAACCACTACATCAAAATACATCAATCAATAATACATAAATTGTTTCATAATTCTTTAGATAGATTTTACAATTAGATATTTAAAATAACCACTCTCTCTCTCTCTCTCTCTGTGTGCGCGCTTGTTTTTCTGGTTTGCCATCAGAATGTGGCTAAACATTATTTCATTTATATGCACGGTGAGCAGGGTAACGGGTGAATTCATGGACTTGAGTGAGACCTTGAGGAGACGGACATAGGCAGGCAGTTCTCAAGGAAGACCGGTCTTGTAACTAAGCAGGCAGATTGAGCATTCTCGGTGCAATTAACATGAAGGATTGGTTGTTTTCTATGCCCTCCAACTGAAACATTCACATTCAAAATCGTGTAATGGTGGCAAAAATGATGGCAACAATGATAGAGTGGTTGCATAACTACTTCTTTTGATTAGACACTTTCTTATAGCCAAATGAGATTAAATTCTCAACTTTTGTATATCATTATTTTGTTTTTTTTTATTTTATTTTATTTTATTTTTGTTGTAAATTGATTTTATTAGGCTTTGTATAACTCGTAAAAAAATTATTGGGTTAATCTTCAATTGGTGTGCCCTTTCATATTCCTCTTTATCTTTTTCAATTTTACAAGACAAGTTTATTTGTTTGTTTCTAGAGAGCATTACACAGGAGACAATTTTTAAGTATCCAAACAGGGCCCATGATACAGTGTGCTAATGTTACCGGCGTCACATGATTCTCCACTACATTTTTATGACCACGGCCCATATCTCAACGCCACGTGTCTGCAGGTTTTAAAGATATCACCTGTTTTGTTTGACCAATTCTTGTGACAATATTTAATTTTTTTTTATTTAAGATTCTATTTTCAGTAATTATATTATATTATATATCAAGCCTCAGCAGCCATGAAACACTGGTCTGTGTATGTACAGCTCAAAGTTGACTGGTCCTACAATTAATTTTTCAAGTTCAATCATTAGTTGCTATTTATTTATTTATATTTTATTTTTCATATCTTAATAATTTTGGTAAATACCTAATAAACAGTTTTGTAAGGAAGAACAATATTTGTAGCTGGATGTGTTTTAGTGTGTTTTTTTTCTCCATATGTATATACACACACGAGATTGGCACATGTAATGCGTGTATAATTAAAATAATAAAAATAAAATTAATATCATATTATTCATATTGCCTAACTAGTTTTATGATATAGTGGTAAAAGAGTTACTATGGAATAGAGACCATGGTTTAAATCTCAACATCTATAAAAACAAAAACAAAAACAAAAACAAAAACAAAAAAATCTTATTACCAAAACTTCTTGGAATATTTTTTTAATGAAGGTAATACTATTTATTTTTGATGAAACATATGAATCAATTAATTCTTAGAAAAATTAAGATAAAATATATGTGAAACACTTAGGTATATGAACAAGAAAAAGGGTGCATAATTATTTAATATCTTGAGACTTTAATGTTGTGTTTAGTTAGGGGATTTGGGAAAAGATTTGGAAATGGAAATGGAAAAGGAAAAGGTAGGTGAAATGTGAATAAAACATGCCTACATTTCACTTAGTTTCACACACCTTTTTCCTTTTTTTTTTCCAAATCTCTCCCCAAATCCCCTAACCAAACACAGCATAAATCAATCTCATTGTATAAAGTGACTAGTTAAAAACAAAAACAAATAACAAGAAAAATAGTTAAATTTCGAACCAATCACACTAGGAATTTTAACCATCCCAACAATACTCTCAAAATAAATATAAAAAATAATAATTATAAACCACCCTTGTAATAAAATGACTAATTTTAATTTGTGTGGAGTCTAAACAATGTTAGAGAAGAAGCAAGTACAGTTGTGACTTGGTCAAAAGACAACATGGTTCCCCACTTTAGCCATATATGATTGAAGGAATATATACAGGCTTATAAATGTTTTTACAAATAAAAGAGTTGGTGAAGACAGATTACATACACCCTCCTTAGACAGTTGGCTAATCATTTCACAACCAAACAAAAGCCATACATAACTTTGTTTTGTTTTGTTTTGTTTTGTTTTATTTTTTTTTTTTTCAGATGATAGTTAGGTTTTGATTTTGAATAATTAATAACTGTTGATTATGGTTCGATTTATTGAATTAAAATTCAAAAAAAATGTACCAAATTATTAATAAAACTTGTGAAAAAACTTTGTTAGAATAATTGACCCAAAAAAGCTGAATTGTCAAACGACTTGGGGAAATTTTCAAGAATTGAAAACTATTTTCATTCACCACCTTAAGAGAAAAACTTCATTACAACGATTATACAAATAGAAACTAATTTTTAAAAATCAGCCAGTCACTCTTTATTTATTACCAAATACCTATAAGTATAATAGTCTGATATGAATCATGATTATTTGTTTTTTTTTTTTAAGCCTTATTTTTTGTCCTCTTACATTTTATTATTATTCATAAGATTGTCAATATCAGCAAAAGTGCATGAAAAAGAAAAGATCATATGAATTCATCTAATATTCATCAACTCCTAATTTTGAGGATTGTGAGACTCAACTAATTAACAAATCCCATAAAATAACTCACTCCCTAGTCATTCAAAAACTCCCAAAAGCCAAATAAATAAATAAAAATAACAATAATAAAATAAATAAAAATAAACTGGGTCATTAAAAAAAAGAAGAAAAAAAAGAGAATAATTCTATACCTACTAACAATTTTACTAAAAATCTTACTAAAAATACAAGAGGCCAAATGATATTGAAATATTGAATGATACTTGGACATGTATGTTTTAGTAAGATTGTTAGTAAGAGTTTAAGTAGATGTAATATTGTTTTATAAATAAAAAAAAAAGTAAAAACCTATATGTACCTAACCAAAATTTTAGAAAATTCTACCCCTTCAATTGGCTGTAATTATCAACAGGGAAAAAGAATCTGAAACAATGTTTAGCAATATATTAATACCTAATCGTTTACTACATAAACTATGTGATAATGTAAGTCTAACACTATGTATGAGTAAAATGTAATTCACAGAGTGAACTTTAAGGTATTTCCAAACTTAAAAAATGTAAAATCAAACTCAACCCATAGAAAATTAGCCAACATATGGGAGTGACATAAAAGCTATTGGATTGTAAAATAAAAATTAAAAAATTAAAAATTAAAATTTTTATTTATTCATCTCAAACCCAAAGATTCTTTTAAACAACTTATTATTATTCTAAAGATTTTGAACATTTCAAATAATTGTTCAACTTTTATAAAAATACATGTCACAAATATTATATAACCATTTTAAATTTTGTTAATCAATGCCCAGTCTCATTGACAAGACCTTTAATTTAAAAGGCTATTAATTTGTGTTGATTTTAGTAAATTTTTATTTTTAACTAATTTATTAAATTAGATACATTTATTATTTGAACATAAATATTTCAATAAGTTTTGAATTTATATGCAATATTTTATGATTGGTCTTTTTAACATGCCTTGATGGCTTAAAAGGTTTGAAAATAATAATGATTTAGAATTGAAATTTTTTGAATGCATAGAAGATTTTTACAAAAAGTGACACAAATGTGAAATGAAAAGTGGGTCTAAACCATATTTATGTGGGTCTCATACTTTTACCGTACATTTATATCTTAGGAAAAATTAGTGAAATATCATTATCTAACTTTGGGTAATAAGAGAGGTCCAATATGTTTATTTTTATTAGCTAAGGTCCTCGATGAAATTTCTATGTAATCATACCAGAAAAATTTTGAATCTTCTTTGTGATCATATTAGAGAAATTTTCAAAATTTCTCTGTGAAATAAGAGAAATTTCTCTATGTCGGAACGAAATTTATCTATATCGAGGTGAAATTTCTCTAAAAAATGTTGAAAGATTCCAACTAATATGAAAATATTATATATCTTTTATCTTATAAAATCTTAATATTAAGAATCTTAAAAAAATTATCTTATATCTTACTGTAAAAATCCTCTATATCGTAATCTAAGAATTGAACAAGTTCTCTTACTTATAAGGTAAAATAAAAGTCATGATAATGACAGTCTAATCAACATCATAAAATATTACAATATTTATGATTCCAATATATTTTTCACATATTTTTAAATATTCTTACAAATTTTAATATATTTTTACATGTTTTACCAAGCTTGGTTTTTCTTTTTAAAAAATATTTTTCAAAAAATTTTACTTTCTTATCTTTCGTATTTTTTTATTTTTACTAATTTTTTTAATATTTTAAGTAATTTTTTTACTTTTTAGACATATCTAACATAAATATACCTAAAAAGTAAAAAAATTGTGAAAAAAACCTTTTAAAAATTTACTAAATACCAAAAATATATAAAAAAAAATACGAGAATTTAGTATATTTTTTGTATTTTTATGTATTTATTAATTTTTTTAAATATTTTTTTACAAATTTTTTACTTTTTAGATATATCTAAGTAAGGTGTACCGATATATATCACTTATATGCATATTTTTCATTAAAAAAATGCTAACAATTGTAAGCTATTGAATTAAATTGAAACAAAATCATAAATTTATGGTCAAAATCGAGTCAATTGAAATTAAAAAGACCAAAATGACATAAGGACTATGAGAGTAATTTGCCCTTAATTTTATTTTTTTCATACTAGTGTAATTGCTAGATAAAGTTAAATATTTTGAGAAATTATATTGCTGTAGTAAATTTTAGCGAAAATCGGTCTAAGGTCCCTATCCAACTTTTAGTAATGGATTAGGTCCACAATCTGTTCTTTTGTAGTCTAAGGTCCCTCACCCCATTCCCTCTCTCTTTCTACTCACTTTCTCTCTCTACATGGGCTCTCTGTTTCTGCTTCACATTCAAATGGCCAAGACCAACAAGGTCTCCAGGTGAGTTTAGCATTTTGATGTGGTAATGGAACTGCATGGAAATTATTTCTGGTGACATTGGTATACTAAATTCCCTCTAAATAGGTGGTTCTCGCATTGGGCATTCATCAACTTAATTTTAAAACGTCTTTTGATTCCTGTGTTTCCCTCGTTGAGGCTCGATGTTAAGTTAACCAGGTTTTGGTTGTTCTAATTTTATTATTTGACATTTTTATAATGTATTTAGTGAACTTGGTGCTCAAATCTTGGATTTTGTATGTGATGATGGGCGTGTAGGCTGCAACGACTTGCTAACTTCCATTACAGGTTCTTCTTCTTCTTCTTCTATCTTCGTCCTTTATGCATGTGCTAATCAGGCAGCATTTAATAGACAAATATAATCAAGTTTGTCAAGAAACATATTTATTTATAACTTTAAATTCTTTTGCATGAAAAATTTATATTCTGAATGCCTCAGAATTGCTGTTGCATTCAATGTCAACATGGTAGTTGGGAGGCCACTATTTGGCAATTGAAGTAATCTGGACTTGGAAATAGTGATGTGAATCATGCGATAAGTGTACATCTCTATAGTTCCTAGATGAATCAAGAAGAAGAGGGCTCCACTTTGAGGGTCATGTTAATTACATGAGGTATTTACATCCTATGAGATCAATAGGAAGGCATCATCAGCCTACTTCCTTGAAAAGCATCCTAGTGGATATATGAAGGAAGCAAACAAAAAATTATTTTGGAGAACTAAGATTTGTCATGTAATTCTTTACTGTAGTGCTAGATTAAGTTTTAAGATGCATGTGGATTTTTTTGTTTTATCTTTACTGTGGTAGCTGCTAATCAAGATATTAGTGAATTGGACTGAATTTTCTCTGGGTTGATCCAGAGAAATTCTCTGGTTTGAACTGAATTTTCTCTGGGTTGATCCAGAGAAATTTTCTGGTTTGAACTGAATTTTCTCTGGGTTGATCCAGAGAAATTCTCTAGTTTGGATTGAACTAGTCCTCAAGTGTTGTCTAGAGAAATTTGGCATTTTTTCTGTGAATTTTCTCTGGTTTGGAAATCATATTTTTTGAATCTTTAGTATGTATAAAGGTGTAATGATGTCATGTTGAGAATTGAATTCATTTTATAACCCATAGATTTCTTCTCTCAGCGCTCTAATTCATTTGAATTCTTTTTTCTTTTTTTTTCCGTTGATTAAAATTTCTTTACAAAGTTGCTCATTTTATTCCCCCAAAACGAAAACCACATGTGATTTAAGGCAATTATTGACAAGATATTCTAGTGTTTAAATCACCAGAAAATACTCTGATTTGCACCATTTTTGGGAATTGGATGAGACATTTGCAAAACATAGAAAATCAAAAAAAATGAACAAATCAGAGAAATTTCAAATTTCTCTGGTTTGAAATTTCTCTGGATGGAAATTTCTCTGGGTTGAAATTTCTCTGGATAGATTTTCTCTGGACCTGCAGAAATTTTTCAAAAAATATTACAAACCAGAGAAATTCTCAATTGTTATTTTTAATAAACCAAAGAAATTCTCAATTGATATTTCAATAACAAACTAGAGAAATACTCAGATTTTTCAAGAGTTTCTCTGGTTCTGGTAAGTTGCCATTGTTATCCCATTCTAATGTTGATTACATATTACAATATGAAATTTTTCCAGTTGAATTCAGTTGAACAATGTTGCTTACCTAATGAATCACAATGATTTGGATGTGAGTGAGAAGAAAAGTAGAGAAACTCATCCAGAGAAATTTGGTCCAGAGAAATTTCTCTGAGCCAGAATTTCTCTGACCAATTTTCTCTGCACTGAAATTTCTCTGGACCAATTTTCTCTGGACTGAAATTTCTCTGGATTGAAATTTCTCTGGATCAAGGTTGAGGGACCTTAGATATTATGAAAATATTGTTGAGGGACCTTAGACATTATGAAAATATTTGGTGTCCTTTATGCTATAAAATCATAATACCAGGGACCTTAAAAAAAAAACCCCTTAAATTTGTGTAGTGTTATAGAATAAATTTAAATTATAAAATGACAATTCTAAATTATTTTTGAATAATTAAATCTGAATTTATAGTATTAATGTAAAATGAAACATAAATTCTTAAAAATGATTGGGTATGAAATTTGTGATAGATACAATTGTGTGCGTGGGCCCAAAATGATGATGCTGACAGACTACATTGTGCTGGCATCCAGACTAGCACAACCCTTGCAAGAGAATCCTAACGGCTCTTATGCGGTGGCTTCCACATATGTGACCGTTGCGTGGGGTCCCCTCTTATTCCAATCTTCCTCAAATATATAGCCGTTACACAACCCATCTCAACCCTCACAACAACAACAACAAACCCCTCAATCCACAAGAGACACAGAGAGAAACAGAGTGGCAGAGAAAGAATTTCAAAGACAAAAATCAGAGGGCTAATCTAAAGGTATGTTGGGTTTTCTTTCATTTTTTCTCTCATTTTCCTTCTGATGAAAAATTTCAATTTTCTTACTTTTCCTTGTTTACCCAATTTCACAGACTTTCCACCATGACTGTTGAGGTTAAGGCTGAAGAAACCCAGGTGGTTGAGGTTGTTGTTTCAGAACAACCAGAGGAGGCTTTGACGGTTGTTGAAGAGACGCAGAAAGTTGATGAATCCAAGCCTAAGATAGTGGAGAAGAGCTCTTCTTTCAGGGAAGAGAGCAATTTTCTCTCTGATCTGAAAGAGAATGAAAAGAAGGCCTTGAATGATCTGAAATTGAAGCTCGAATCCGCTATCCTTGGAAACAATCTCTTCAAGAAAGAAGAGCAGCCCAAAGAGATTGCAAAACCAGCAGAGAAAGTTGAAGAGAAGGAGACAGAGATTGTTGTTGAATCAGTGAAACAAGAGGGTGAAGAAAAGGAGGAATTGAAAGTTGAGGAGGGAAAAGTTGAAGGAGGAGAGGAAGAGAAGAAACAAGAAGAGGGTAGTGAAGAAAAAACTGTTGAATGTGTGAAAACCCAAGAAAATGAGGAAGAGAAAAAGGCTGATTTGGTGGTGGTCGAAGAGAAAATTGCTCAAGTTGATAGGGAAATCTCTCTTTGGGGAGTACCCCTTTTGCCTAGTAAAGGCGCCGAGGGAACCGATGTGCTTCTCTTGAAGTTTTTGAGGGCTAGGGAGTTCAAGGTCAATGATGCATATGAGATGCTCGAAAAAACGCTTCAATGGAGGAAGGACTTCAAGGCTGATTCAATCTTGGATGAGGATTTGGGCACTGATTTGTCCCCTGTTGCCTATATGAGCGGTGTTGATCGCGAAGGCCATCCAATTTGTTACAACATTTTTGGGGCTCTTGACAATGAAGAGCTCTACAAAAAGACGTTTGGGACTGAGGAAAAGCGCGAGGTGTTCTTGAGATGGAGGTTCCAGTTGATGGAGAAGGGGATTCAGAAGCTTGATTTCAAGGCTGGTGGTGTCAATTCATTGCTTCAAATCAATGATCTCAAGAACTCTCCTGGACCATCGAAGAAGGAGCTTCGCGTCGCTACAAAGCGAGCTGTTGGGCTTCTGCAGGACAACTACCCTGAATTCGTAGCGAGAAATGTAAGACACACATTTCAAAATTTATATTTCATTTGATTAGTTATTGTAGATCCGAATCTGTGAAGTTTTCTAAGGTATTGATGATGGGTCACAAATTGTTTTGGTTGTAGATATTCATCAATGTTCCTTTCTGGTTCTATGCTTTCAATGCCCTCTTGTCTCCATTCCTAACACAAAGAACCAAAAGCAAATTTGTTGTTGCCCGTCCTGGGAAGGTCACTGTGACTCTACTGAGGTAAGTAATTTCTTTTCATTAACAACATCATTAAGGCTCAATAGCACGGGTTAATTAAGGTCTAATGAAACTTAAATCAAATCTTGGGACAGGTACATTCCAGTGGAGGAAATTCCCATCCAGTATGGTGGCCTCAAGAGGGACAATGATTTTGAGTTTTCAATTGAAGATGGTGGAGTTTCAGAACTTATCATCAAGGCTGGATCAAAAGAAACCATTGAAATATCCATGGCAGAGGTACATTCCTGTTTGGTTTCAAAAGAAAAATAAAAATCTGAAAACAACCCAATTTAAGAAACAAGAAAACTTTGTTATCCAATTTTTAGAAACTATTTTAGGACAAAAAAATGAAAACAATGGGTTTTTTTAAACTTTGAGTACGATTCTTGGATAAAATGTGATATTTGATGTGTTGTGAACAGGTTGGAACCACATTCATCTGGGATCTGACGGTTTTGGGTTGGGAAGTGAGCTACAAGGAGGAATTCATCCCCACGGACGAGGGTTCTTATACCATTATTGTTCAGAAGGCTAAGAAGATGGGATCGAACGAAGGACCAGTTCGCAACACTTTCAGGAACAATGAACCTGGAAAAATTGTGCTTACAATTGAGAATAACTCGAGCAAGAAGAAGAAGGTTTTGTATCGATACAAGACCAAGAAGAGTGAAAGCTTTTGAGAGATATATGTATACAACCTTATTGGCTTGGGGAATGAGAAGCGAGAGATGGACAGACGAGAGTGGGGGCATATTTTCTTTTTTGTGGAAATTCTTTTAGGAGTATCATTCTTTGGCATGATCAATAATGCTCTGTAATTTGATTTATTTTGAGCTCTTATTTTGTTTTGTTTTTTTTCCAGTTGGGTGATTATTTGTTGCTGTCTTGCAAGTGTTTGAGGGATAAATTTATATACATTGTTTTGGTGAAATGCATTAAGACTGATTTGAGTTTACTAATGTGTTTATTATATAATTGATTTAGCTTGTTATATGAAAAAAAGCCAACGAAATTTTATTTTAATGAATTCTACTTTCTTATAGTTTTTTTGCATCATTTTGGAAATGGAATTTGTGAAAATCTTGAGTGTTATGGTTGAGTTTTCAATCAGAAATTGACTTTCAGGTCCTTCTTTGCTTCAGTATTGTTCTACGTACATACAACCCAATGAATTTTATTTTGATGTGCTTGGGCTGGGTCGACTTGCGGACTCTCACGGGCTGATGGACTAGTACAATTAAGAAACATATATTTAGAGTGGTAAAATAAATTATGTTATTCGAGTTGGACAATTTTTAAAAATTAATTTCAGGTTAACTTGTTTTATAAATAAATTAAAATTTAAATATATTTTAAAAATTGTTAATATTTTGAGCTTGGCTCAAAAATATTTTTTGTATTATAAAAATCAACAGTCCCGTTAGGTAGCCCGAATCCTCTAAGGCTCGAGGTGTCAAAACGATTTTTTTTTTCTTTCTTTTTTTTCTTTCCTCTGTTGTATCTGTTCTTTCTCAGTTTTTTTTTTTTTAATCAAAAAAATAGAGAGGATAGGAAAAATTTTAAAAAAAATCAAACATCAAAAATCAAAACCAAATACAAATATACAAATACAAATCAACCCCCCCTCCCTTTTTTTTTCCCCCCTTTTCTTCTTCTACAGAATCAAAAAAAAAGAAAAAAGAGAAAACAGAGAAAAAATCAAAAAAAAAAAAATATCAAACATCAAAAATCAAAAATCAAAACCAATACAAATCAACCCCAAAAATCAAACCAAAAATTAAACCCACAAATGAGAGAGAGAGAGAGATACACAGAACAAAGAGAGAGAGAGAGAGAGAGATACAGATCAATATAGATCTGTGCATATATATAGATCTAACTGTGTATACACACAGAAGATGGCCGGTGATGGTGAGGATGGCCAGTGATAGCGCCAGTGATGGGGAGGATGGCCGGTGATAGCGTTTCTCTCTCCTTTCTTTTCTCTTCTTCCCTCTGTTTCACAGGTAAAAGAGAAGAAAAAAAAAATCAAAATGATGTCGTTTTGAATTCGGGCCAATCGAGCTTCAGAAATTTCGAGCTCTGAAGCATTTTTCAAAAATCAAATTTTAAAATTTTGTTTTGTTTTTAAGTTAAGCCAAGTATAAATAATTTACTATTCAACTAGACTTTGCACAATACAAATTATATATTTTTCATTTATTGTGTTTACTTTTTAACGTTATATACAAACACAATCACATCAATTCAAGATCAATCAAAATTATAAAATCAAAGTAATCAACACACAATGGCACAACCGAGATCAATGCTAACAACCTTAAATTATTAAATATTTATATAATACTTACTTTATTATTAAATATTTGCATAATATTTATTTAGGTGTGGACTTATGTGGACCTTATATGGTATGGGTGCTTATGTAAGTATTTGAGTAATTCCTTTAGGATCTTTTAACATTTTTACTAAAAGTATAACAATTAAAAGATAATTTGAATAATTTACCTTTTTTGAAATATGTCAAGTAAAATATTCTTTTAAACTCACATTGATCAGATATCAGTAATTCTATAATCAGATCAGCCTAATCATAGGACTATCGATTTTTGATAAACATTATTTTTTATAAAAATATTTTACTTGACGTATCCTAAAAAGTAAATGATTTAACTCATCAAAGTAGAACTTAATGAATCGCATTACTCTCACAGAAGTGATTGCCATACAAGAATTACCAAAAGATTATGACAATAAGGGAAACCATAAAGTGAAATAAAGATGAAAGATTATATGAATTACTAAAAGATGATAATAATAAGCGAGTGATTGAAATAAAGATAAAAGATTACCAGAATCACCAATAATAACAATAATTGTATTTAAATTTTAAATTTGAGTGAGAATTTGCCAAAAATGTTACTTGCCTCAATATGCAAATTACATATTTGCGCTTCACTTATCTCTCTAAATACAAATGATATATTTTTCCTCTATTATTTTTACTTTTTGACATGATGTACAAAGAGTGATGTTAAGAATATCGAATAATCTATTAAATTTTCTACCAAATCTCTCAGATGACTGTGGGACTCACACACATGTGGATTTGTATGATCCCACACCCATGTGAGATATTTAATAGATAATTTAATAGATTATTTGAGATTCATAACATTTTCCATGTACAAATACAATCACATCCACGACCGATCAAGACTATAAAATCGAAGTTAATCAACACAATCACTCAATTATTCATTTAGAGTTTCTATTTTTTATTTTTTTTATTTTTATTTTTTATATTAACTTCATCATCCACGTGCAAACAAAATAGTATAAATTATACTTTACCACCTTTATGTTTGGCCACTCATCATTTTGGCTCTTAATTAATTTATTTATTTATTTGTGCTTTGGCTCTTTATATTTCAATTTTTTTTTTCCAGTTTATTCCTAAAACTAACTTTTGTTAAAAATTAGATAGAAAATGATACATTAACAGTCGCGTGGTATAAAAATATTTTATTACATATAATTACCACACCTGACACAAATTCAAATATTAATATAATAATATATTTTATTTTATGTCGCAATCATCGTGACATTTTCTGTCTAAATTTAAACAAAAATTAATTTTAAGAGTAAACTAAAAAAAAAACTTGAAACATAAAGGGTCAAAGTAAGAAAAACAAACTTTAAGAGTCAAAGATTAAATATAAAAGGAGCAAAGTGTAATTTATCCAACTAAATATTAGATATTTATTGATGTACCCAATTAATATATATATATATTTTTTCTTTCTAGACATGTAATGATTTACTTGATAAATATTCTCCATAATGATGTATATTCCACTCCATTTAAGTTAAATATTTATAAAATAACTTATTGAGTCTATGATTATGTTAGTAAGAGACGGGAGATATTCAATTAATTTTATTTATAATTTTTTTTTATTAATTATCATGTAGAATTATGTTATTGTTACTAATAAATTTTGTATTTATTTCAAAGTTATTTTTGAGATAGTATACGTTTGATTTGGGATTCGGGGGTAAAACGACATTGTTTCATCAATTATGCATATTCAATAAAAATAAAAATTGGTTGTTAAGAAGGCTTGAACCCAGACACGTTGGAGAGAAAGAGAGTCTTCAACCACTGTTACTTAGTCTTCTCGTAGTCTCCTCAGTAATATTTTGGACATATACTGTATTTATTACAATTTGTATTCCAGCATATAAAAGAAATTTATAATCTGCTTTTACTAAAATCTGTATTCCAGCATCAAAAAAAAATTTACAATCTGCTATTACTCCAATCTTTATTCTAGCATAAAAAAATATTTACAATCTACTATTACTACAATCTGTATTCCTGCATAAAAAAATTTACAATTTGCAGCCGCAATAAAGCTTCTAAAATTAAAAAAAAAAAAAATCCTTTCCATCTTCAAGAAAAAAAAATTTCCAATCTTTACAATTTGATACTATGTTATGTATCAAACACAAATAAAATAAAGCACAATAACAGTAATTTCTCCTTAAATAAACCTTAAATCCATATCCAATCTGCACAATTTGATGCTCTATTATGTATCAAACACAAATAAAATAAAACACAATAACAGTGGCTTCTCCTTAAATAAACCTTGAATCCATTTCAACTTAATTCTCAAAAATAAAGCAAAAGGGCGGCCCACTAGACAATTGTTTACATTTCAACTTTGCGGGAGTGGTTTCGAATGACTGAAAAAATCAAACAAACTATCATTACGAAAGATTGACTTAGCCACCATGGGACTGTGCTCTGCCAGATCAAATCCTAATCCTTGTAACCAAAAAAAAAAAAAAAAAAAAGATATAAGGAAATGCATTGGAATTAAATACACATATATGTAAAACAAAAATCTAGATTACAAACAAGTATATTATACACCTGAGAACTTTGTGGATTGTACAATGCTTGAGAAGACAAAGGCGTTGACAGTGGATAAGTTGGCGGGCATGCAAAATTAACATCGTGTATGAGCAGATTATATCCGAAAATCATTAGTTGTGGCCAATAGGGTATCTCAACACCCTCTTCTCATGCCAAGGTTTTAATCTACTCCCACCTTTGTGTCCCCTTTCTTTCTTTTTTAAGCCCTTAGCTCGTGCAAAGTTTGGATCAACTACAAATTCTTTGGTACCCACTTCAATATTGCCTCCACTACCAGAAACACCTGAGCTATCTAATGAAGTCATCATATTGTCTACGTTTGCACACAAATCCCTAAGAGTTTCATCAACTAATTGATAGGCAGGTTTGCATTCAGATGATCAAGCTGCTAGTTTTACCATTCTAGGACAAAGATCTCTGTAGCGTGCTGCTATCATCAACTTAGGGTCATTCTCAACCACTGTAACTATTTTCTCAATTGCGCAATCCTTCGCATCTAGTCTCTATCGACCTAATATATACCTTTCAGGAATTTCCATAATATTTATTCCATCAAGTGCCTTAATTGCATGACCACATAAAATTCCAAAACTCTCAAATTTTTGACAAGTGCAATGAATTTCTCAACAAATATTGTCTCCTCCTGACTCATTAACTTCCACATTACCTTTCACAATATACTCTCTATCCTATCCATATAAGCCAATCACATACATTACTTCTCTTCCTAACTCATGGCATCGCGTCACTTGACAACAAAGGGATGTGTCTAACTCATTATGGAACAAGTCAAAGATAAGAGGGGTATACAACTTAGCAACTTGAATTAACATAGGAGACATTCTCAACTTTATTCTCGGCAACTGTTGTCTTGAATCATATATAGTTTTTACTTCTTCATACCGCTTATCCATAACAACTCGATTGAAGTGTGTAAAAAATTGAACAATGTTATGGCCAACTTTTAAATGCTTCTTCAATTCTGCATTCAAGCTTTCACTAAGTTGAGTGCTTCGCAT